GGATTATAACGTTGTAAGTCCGCAGACATACCGCCGTGCCACCTGGGGGATTTTAAAAGCTCCAACAATCTATATCAATTTGGAGGTTACCGTTTCGTCCAAATTATTCTATTTTTTTGTTGAAAATATTCTTTAATTGTTTATCTACAACTTGTGGACAATTCACTTATCAAAATAATCTGTAGGATTTGCGTGATTTTATCATAAACGTATAAATATTTTAATATTGACGTTAATTTAAAGACTTTTGAATTAGGTTTTGACTTGAAACTTTTATAATAAAATATCTGTTTTATCTATTTATTTTAAAATATTTTACATTTCACATTCATTTTTAAACTTAAATTTGTTGCTTTTAAAAAAGGTGTTCAGTTTTTTGCTGGTTTCTATACTGCATAGTAACCAGTGATACTACGAAACCGGTTAAATGCAGAAGAGCTTAATAAATAAAGAACAATTTGGTAAAAAAAAAAGTAAGGATCCGAGTTTTCTTGAAGTAAAACCATCTTGAATTACGCCATACATATATATCTACTACACTTTAAACGGTATTTATTAGGCTTAACATCAAATCTGTGGCTAAAACGTCTCCACTTCCCCAAATTTTACACGGATTCAAACGTTATCTTTATCAATTGTAGCCTGTTAGGTTATGTGCCAAAACATTTAAGTGTAAATGTAATATTTTTCATAAAATATAAAAATTTTCAAGCCAACTTAAGATGAAAGACACCAGCATAGTTAACTGTTATATATATAAAATAATCCTACAGTATTGTATATATTTGTAGGTTACTAGATTCAGAGATTGCATGAATGAAACGAGGAAGAATATGTTAATATGAATCACCTACTGATGAGGCTTTTCGTTCAATACCAGGGTTCATCTGGGATACGACAGATATAGTAGTGGTCTAAGTTATATATATATAAATATATATATTGTTGCGTCAGCAAGGTCACGTGACTAGTATCACGCCACGTATTTCTAGAAATATCCTGTTTCTTCAAGAATGCCCTAGCATTTACTAGATATGTGTTAGTCTGGTATATATATAAGACGCCCACAACGTGACGGGGACAACAGTGTAGGTAGTGAGTAATTGATCTGCAGTCAGAGAGTTTATAAAAAGCGATAGTTTAAATTAATTACAC